CAAAGAGGCTCCAAAGGAAATTCTAGTGATGTTTAAAGGAAAACAGGTAAACCCCCTCATGAAACTCCCTTTCTATTTTTTTTGTGAAGGATTGAAATAAGAGTGAAAAATAGTTCATGTCCACAAAGGCTCCATTAAATGCATTCAATGTTTGAAAAGAGCGTTTAGAGGTGGTGAGGTGAAGGCTGTCCAATTTTTATCTAGTTTGTACAGTTGGGATGACCAAAACATCATGTGAAATATCCGAAGTACATAGTAGAGTTGAAAAATGAAAACTGGGCATTTCTCTATTGCTTCATAAAGCTCAGGAGCACAGACCTGCTGGGAATATCTGCTCAAAAGATACGCAGAAGAGAGGTCATGAAGGCTTTATGTCCTAAAATAAATTCCTTACAGTAGGGATTACAGACAATTAAAAAAAAAAATTTCATCCTTATTTTTCTGTTGCCAAAGTTTTAATTAGGAACTACCTGGAATTCTTCTGCTTTATTCTGATTAGCTGCAATTAAGTAAAAATGGTCACTCTAATCTTACTTGAAATCAAATTATTTTAAATTATGGGCACAAAGGCAGTCCCATGGCTGTCATTGCTCAAAATGTTGAATGTACAAATGGTACGAACACGTCTTTGATTTGAGAACAGCACTGACATATTTTTCAAAGCATTAACAAAAAAAAAAGCCAACCCTGTTATCTTCATTATACAGATGGGAAATTGAGGCACAGAAAGAATAAAAACTTGTCCAAGGTCAAATAAGAAATCTCTTTAGATACAATCTTTCTCTCTAACATACCTCAGTATGAATTTAAAGTCACCTAATAAAAAAATGTGGTAGTCACCCACATAATATACTTTATCATAGGAATCCTCTTCTTATCATTATTTCTAAAATAAGTTCAAACACCACCAGTCTGCTCTGAACACTGCTTGTATAGCCAGCTAAAAGCACTATCTGTGTCAACAGGATAAAACATACTAGTGCTTACTCTTTGAAATATTTTCTTTTCAGCTAGGAACTTTATAAAGGCTAGCTTTAGAAGCTAGGATTTCTCTCCTCTTTTTCCCAACTTCCAGTGTATTGTGACTTGATTTTCCTTTGGATTGTATGCTTATGAAGGACACTGTAAAAGTGTGCACACACCAATGAAAGGGAGCAGGGTCCATCATAAAGCTGTCTGGACTGTTTTGAAAAGGATGCAAAGTTTAATTAAATATTCCAGCCTCAGAAGCTGTCACCGCCAAGGAAAGCTGTGACATTGATCTGGTATCAGACATGGTTTGCAGCATGTGAGCATAGTGGACCTTGATTACAGAGGATTAAAGCAGAAAGAGCTCTACTGATGTCTGGACTTGTAGCAGGAGCAACACAATGAGGAGATGAGGAGAATCGGGTCAGTCCACTGCAGGAAAATGGTATCACAGTTTAGTGATGACTTGACAGGAGGAAAATTCCAGTATTCATACATGATAAATCACACCGAGCTAGGCATACAGCTTGCAGTCAGCACTTTGCTGTGAGCAGTGCAAACACCAGGAGCACGGGGTGAAGCATCTGCTCACAGTCTTCCAAGGTTACTAATGATGTCAGCATTTGCTGTCTACTGATGAATAAGGAATGCCAAGTGGCTATTTTGGAGGCAGCGAGAGGGTCAGGAGAGGTGAATCATGTTGGCATTATCTAAGGTAAGAGAGCAGGAGGTTGCTTCCAAGCACCTTACGAAAATACTTTCTTCCAGCCCTAGACAGCAAGTCCCTGTTACCACTCATATAAATAAACTGAGAGCCAGATTTGGTTGAACAGTTTCTCTAGCCTCCATCAGAGTCAGACTCATTCTTGTATCCTGTCTCAGCATTACCAATAGCTCTAGGTACATACCCCGGTGGTTACATCCTTCCTTCATAGGAGCGGGTTTCATTAATTCAATCAGAAAAATAACTGCATAAGTGAGAATTAATTACACAGCCTCCATTAATTATTTACCTGTTGTGATAGGAGCTACAGTTAAAATGAAGAAGCCGGTTTTACTGCTTATTCCCTTATGTTCCTCTCCCTGATAAGGAGAAGGAAAGAAGTACTGCTTTTAAATTACGTCAGTGCTTTGCTCATGTTGAAATTTTATTTTGCTATGAATTCAAATTCATTCTTTAAAAGGTGAGCTTTTCCAGGAGTAAGTCTCTGCAAACTTATTTTCAACAAAGTCCACTTTAATAATTCCCCAAGACAGTAATGTCTAGACATTAACCCTACACTGTGGTCCCAACAGTCTGATCTGCCCCTGACACACATGGGCTGTAAAGATACCACTGAAAAAACAGGCTGCACATTACTCAGCTGTACTAAGGGACCAGGACTAACACACTGATTTAAAAGCACTCTGAAGATGAAAAAGTATTCATAACTATTTCTTAGTTCAGCTTATACTTTGTGTCACAATGACATAAGTATTGAATGTCTAATTTGTTTTTTTATAATACTAATATGCACATAAACGTGAAAAGTCTTTGCTTTGCATGAGTCCTGCCTTATCACTTATAGCATGTTTCTGAGAGCATTAAATTATTTTAAAATGCAAACAAAAAAAGGTAGCTAATACTGCACATATTTACGATTTAATTTGTTCTAAATTCTCTCCATGACCAAATGTGCAAACTGCTAAGCACCATCTCTTCCCAGTAGCAGTTAAAGGCATTCAGAACCTCCCTGGCAGCACTGAGCATCTTGCAAAATAAGGCATGTGACACCAAAAAAAACCATTTTGAGTGTCAGTGAAACACAGTAATCTCTTAACTAGAATGTCAGCTGTTTCACAGAGTGTACCAAGTTTGCTTAACAGTTTGAGATAGAAAAGACAGACATGCAATGCGTGTAACTCCAAAAGGATTTTAAGTGAGCAGGATACAATGGTCCAGGCCGCAATGTGGGCAGAGTATCACCTTACCATATTCCCCTGACACTGAAGGTAAACCACATCTTTAATTATCATACAAAGTCAGATTTCAGTGTTGTGCATCCTGTTGAAGAAAGTCTCTCTAACTGCACAATCCCATAAAAATGTCATGTTTATACTGTATCTTACCAGCTCAAAGGAAACTTATTGTGAACCAGAATGTCACCTTCTGTGCCTTTCATCCCAGCTTCAGCCACCTACTGAGACCTCAGATGGAAAAGCAAAGAGGGTTTCAATGTTTCAAGAAGTACAGCCTACAGTCTCAATGCTGTGAGTATTACATAAAAGTTCAGCAAAAAAAAAAGCTCACTACTCAACTAGCAAAAATGTCATTGTGGTATCAGCAGCTGCTTCATGTCAGCTGGGCTAGAAGAGAGGCTGTCAAGCTGGAAGAGACCCCATAAGGTGCCTGGTCATTCAGGCGAGGTTGCTCATAGTTTTACCCGTTGGGTTTAAAAACCCCCAAGGACCGAGACTACACACAGGTCCCCTCTTTACCTGCCTGTCCTTATGGGGGAAAACACCTAGTCTGAATGCCTGCTCTCATGCTGCACCACTGTGAAGAACCCAGCTCCCTCTCCTTGGAGACCTCCCCATAGGCATTGGGGGCTGCTGTTAGGTCCTCTCAAAGCCATCTCTGCTCCAGCCTGAACAAGCCCAGCTCCCCCAGCCTCTCCTCGCAGGGCAGGTACACCAGGTCCCACCAGCATGGTTTATCACCTTCTCTATGGTTTTGGGCTCCCAGCAATGGATTTGGTAACCCAGATGTGGTCTAACGAGTACCAAGCAGAGGGTAATAATGAGTCTTGATCCGTATCTCTGCTCCTGTTCATACAGCCCAGGCTGCCATTGCCATCTTTGCTGTCAGGACTCGCCACTGGCCCATGTCCTGTTTGCTGGCCACCATGAAACCCAGGGCCTTTCCCACAGAGAAACAACTACAATAACTCTCCATTTCAAACTCCATGAACCCAGTAGATGCCAAATAACATTGCTATGCAGCAGACACTAGACAGCAATGGGCACACAGACAGTCAGGACAGCTCGGCTGCTGTGCTGCAAGTGAGTGAGCTGTGGTTGCCTAGCGTGAGGACTGAGCCCAAACACACATCACACTGATAAACTCACATCAATCAACGTGACCATGTCAGTATTACTTTCTTGTTAGGAGACAGCATAACTGCATACAATTAATATATGAGAATACTTCATGTCTAGAACTTCCTTAAAGAGTTATTGTCAACTGTTACCTTCCTGGAAGTAGAGCTGTGTAACATCAGCTTTGCTACACTGCAAATGCCTATCACAAATAAATAAGGAATTACTGCTTTGCAACAATAGTCTTCAAAAGCAGTTACTGCTTTTCCTCTTACAGTTCTCTGTAAAATGTAGACCAGTGGTTAAAGCTCAATCTGTAAAGTTTACTCTAAAACAAGGGAAATGATCAGTTTCATAGAAGTGAAACAGTTAAAGCAACCCCAGACAAAAATTAAGTTCTTAGTGTCAAGCTCCTATCTTATTGTTTGCCTTTTATGGTAGATTTGTATCAGCAACACAGATCTGATTGAAAAGCAGTAAAGCTTACTAACAACTTGAGAAGGAAAATAAGCACGAAAAATTATATGAACGGATGCAAATAGTCAGATATCTAATTCTGACACCTAATAGAGAGTTGCACTACAGTGATGGATCACATCTTGACATGCAACATTTGAGAAAGTTTATTGCAGTAAGCATTCTTCAATATGAATGTAAATTTCCAGAATGTTCCATGTCTCAGGTACATCCTGCTCTGTGTTTCTCTAATCACTGGGTATTGCACAATACACCTCTGCTGACTCCACTGAAAAACCAGCCTGGATTGACTCAAAGGCACAAAATATATGTAGCAAAGTACTACAAATGTAGCAACAGTGCACTGATATGTAGCTGCCTACATCCTAAATTTCCTTTGATGGAGCAAAAATTCCTCAGTTCATTGTTGCTATTAGGATGGTCAGTAAACTTTCCTTCCAACTAAAGGAAATAAATCTCCTTGAAAAAATACATACCAAGTACATTAGCTGTACACTGAAGAATTCCTGAGACATCTTCAGTTTCTTCATTGCCAGAGCAGTCTGTATAGGAGCATCTGTTTGATATATTGTGAAAGTTCTTCTCTGCATCTCTGTAACTACAGTAAAAAAAAAAAAAAAGAGTTAAAAAGTCATAGCATATCATTATACAAATACAAGGTTGACAAACGTCTTTCAGAAGTGGTGGTAAAGAATGATTTTAGCCGCCCTTGTCTCCCCCTCTTCTCCCTGCCATCACCCCTTTCCATTAATGCATGATCACACACAGATGACACCACATTAGCAGCCTGGCTACCTCAAGTATTATACTAGAATCTGAAATATTATCTGTAATGGGAATGAAAGGCATAAGAAAATAATAGTACCAAAAGGCTGAAGCATAATAGAAGAATATCAGACATAGCTGTCTTATACGTCATTCCCACTGGCGTGTTGTCTGTAATGAAGTTGTACAGTAAACTCCAGGAAAGATGTTTATGAAGCAATGGTAAGTATCTAATAAGAAGAACACATCTTCCACAGCACATTACATTAGCACTGCAAGTATAAAACCTAGCTTTCTCTGTGAATTATCTTCTGAAAAGATCTCAGCAGAAAGCTGCAACTCACCGTGCTATCAAGAATAAAGTTTGTGCTATAGCATCTTAAAGAAAAATTAGAAAGAATCCCACCACTGAGAAAAGGCTGACCAGCAAGAAAGCAGCTACCACCTAAATTATTCTATTTGTTTTAGCTTTGCAGGATTGTTTTTCCTTAATTCAATGGAAACAGAACAGAAGCTCAAACTATGTTTAAATCAAAGCTTTATGCAGGTGACAATAACAACATAAGCGGGAATACAAGTGAAGAAAATATTGCAGCGGAGTGATAATGCACTAGGCAAAATATACAGTGAATTTAGCTCAATGCACAGAGAAAAGCTTATCTAATTGGTGTTTTATTAACAGTTCTGTTATGCTTTCATACTTTGTTTATGCTTCATAAATCATGAATAGCAGTTTTAAGGATTGGACTCTTCATCTGGTTAATGCCTGCAAAATCTCACCGCCTGGGTTGCCAGCACCTGTGGAAAAGGACTAGAAAGGATTGAGAGTCACACATCAGGTTACATACAGCAGGGAAACTGGTCTCCACATGGAGTAAAGCATATTGGGAAGAGTGGGCTACTCTCAGGCAAGGAAAACCCGTAGGAAAGGGCCACTGGTGTGCTCTGCAGCAAACTGCATGGTCTGTACCACTTTGCTGGTCTCCAGTGATGCCTGGCAGGAAGCCACATCCTGACCCAATGTCCCAGCTGAAACAGAGCCCAAAGTCATGGCCCAAACCTATCGCCATGTGAGGAGGCCAGGCCTCTTCAGCCAGGGTCACCGACTCCCTGAATGACACCACAGCCACTGCTCACCTTCAACATTGATCAGGATGGGAGATTTGATGAACATTTATGTTGTATCAGGCGTCAGCATCCAGATGCTGCCGGGGGTGCTTCACGGGCCTCTGTGAGGGGAGAATGGGGCTGTCGTGATTCGTACTCACGTTCATAGGATGGGTCTGTCCTGTGCTGAGCACAGCCGGCTCCAGCAGCCTTACCACAGGGCACAGCTGACCCCAGCAGTGCTTCTGGGAAAATGCGTTTGAGAAAGTGCAAAACACCTCATGGAAGTGCGAGGGGTGAGGAACAGAACTGAGAGAAACAGCACTGCAAACACCAAGGTCAGTGAAGAAGGAGGGGGAGGAGGTGCTCCAGATCCTGGAGTGGAGATTCCCCTGCAGCCCCTGGAGAAGACCACGGTGACACACATTGTCCATCTGCAGCCCATGGAGCTCCACAGTGCAGCAGATATCCAACCTGCAACCCATGGAGGACCACAGTGGAGCTGATATGTACCCTGCAGCCCATGGAGTAGGGGTCTGGCAGGTGGCCAAGGTCAACCCATCACAGCATGTACCAACAGTAAAGATTACAGGACAGGACAAATATCCTTTAAGAAATTCATACTGATGTTCATAAAACAGTCAAAATATATCATAAGTCACAGGTATAACAGGTTTTCAGAGTGTCCCATTTTTAAACATTGTCCATTGAAATAAGCACATCTAAGCCACACGTGACCATAATCAAACAGCCACATTGTTATTGCATACATGCTTCCCTCAAGGCACTGTCTCATCCTCTGAAGTCTCCTAATATGCAACTTCAAGCCATTTTTTTAGCAACTGAAAAAACTGGCAGCCAGAAGGCTTCTCCCCTCTGCCTGTCCCATAACAAATGTCACAACTACCTGCTGAGACCAGCTCCCTCACTGCCCTCAGGTGCCAGCCAGATCACTAACACTGCAGATATCACCCACCTTTGAATTTTAACCAAACGTTAAGAAATAGGTAAGGACAATTCCCTCCAGTGCATCAAGCTTTGAAACTGTGTCATAAATTCTAAAATGACCCTCAACTCAGCTTGAAATATAATTCTCTTATATCTGTGTAATTAAATTCAGAGGACATAATTCTTCATTTGTCATATGGCACAGCCATTTAATGGCTACAGACATGCAGCCATTGTACCCTGATTCTGTTACGAAAAGTAAGTTACAGTAAAATACTTGCACAGCTAAGAAAAAACTTGTGCAGGTAAGGAAAAGGTTGAAAGGAGATTATTTTAATCAATGGGAGAGTGCCTTAGGTTTACATTATAATAATTGCTATTATTTTATTTTTACTCCTCAGTCATATTAATTTTCTCAATGAACTCTTAGGAGGTGCTGCAAAAACCTGCCAGTAAGGAATAGTGTATGTATGTAACAAGCACTGATGCAGGATGGTGCAAGATTCGAACCTCGGGTAATAGCATAAATAACTTTTCCAGCATTCTCAGCTGGATCTGTGAAAAGCATATCGGAATTTACACTTTTTCAAAAAGATTTCTTATTCTCCTTATATAGGAAACATCACTGTTGATGGAGCAGTTGTGCTCTGATGGGACAATGGCTACAGACATGCAGCCATTGTACCCTGATTCTGTTACGAAAAGTAAGTTACAGTAAAATACTTGCACAGCTAAGAAAAAACTTGTGCAGGTAAGGAAAAGGTTGAAAGGAGATTATTTTAATCAATGGGAGAGTGCCTTAGGTTTACATTATAATAATTGCTATTATTTTATTTTTACTCCTCAGTCATATTAATTTTCTCAATGAACTCTTAGGAGGTGCTGCAAAAACCTGCCAGTAAGGAATAGTGTATGTATGTAACAAGCACTGATGCAGGATGGTGCAAGATTCGAACCTCGGGTAATAGCATAAATAACTTTTCCAGCATTCTCAGCTGGATCTGTGAAAAGCATATCGGAATTTACACTTTTTCAAAAAGATTTCTTATTCTCCTTATATAGGAAACATCACTGTTGATGGAGCAGTTGTGCTCTGATGGGACTGCATGGAAGCTGGACTGCTCAGCAGTTTATCATTAACATTCATGGTATGTATAGTTATTCCAAAGCATCTCTAAGAATTTGTGAGTAAAATCAGAATGCTTTTCACACAAGGGTGTGACTTGGGAAGCACAAAGGAAAACATTACCATGCACCTTTCACTACCTCATGGTAACACTTACCCAATAACTTGATGCTCAAAATACTGCAGTGTCCTTTGAAGAGTTTGCTGAATGATCTGAGGCTGTGGAAGAATGATACAAAAAAAAAAATCAAAATATTAGGGAAGTACAGTACAGTTTAATCAATAATATCTTTTAACACATTATTTTTCTCCAGTTTCACTCCTTCTCATCTTCTACCTGCTAGGTGCCCATCATAGCAATGGACATGAAATATTATTCATTCTTTATATCTTAATTCACCATTTAAATAGGAAGGAATTTTACAATGTGACTTTATTAATACTGCCTACAAGACTACTTATGCATAACTAAGGAGGCACTTCACTATTAGCTGTCAAAAACTATCACCCACCAATTATCTCATTATTTTAAAATAATTCATTTAAAATAATCTGCTAGCAAATGCTACTATTATGTGATGAAATTATCACCAGGAAAAGGCATTGGGTTTTTAAACTTTCTATGTTCCCTAGAGCATTTTGTACTAAGTAATATTATAAAGATGCAATTTATTTTGGCTTACTTCCCTGACAACCTATCACTCTCCAGTCATCTTTTAAGTTATCAGGAAACTCAAGGAAACTTTTCATCAAAAGAAAAGCACAGAATCATAGAATGATTAAATAAGGACAACCCCCCCACTGCACTGCACATGGTATCCCAGATGACTCAGTCGAAATTTACATAAATGCAGTTTCAAATTCTCCATCCCATCCCCTTTGCATCCTAAGATAACCAGAGAGAATTAGAGAAGAAAGGGACTGCTTGGACCAGGGAGGTCACAGCCAAGAGAGCAGCCAGGTATGTACAGACACACACACCCCCCCTAACAAGGCTTCAAAGATTTTTCCTGGCAAAAGCCAAGTAAGCTCCTAGCTGAGCCTCAGAAGTGCTTCAGTACTCATGCTCTTAAAAACTTGAGTGCTTAAAATCTTAAACATGAAAGTTGAAGCACTGGAGAGCATAACAGGCTCAGTTAGAAGCCGCTTTGCTTCTATCAGAATTTTTTCAAAGAAGTCCAAGGGGTCAGGGGGCTCCTCCAGACTGTTGTGCCTTGTGAAGCCATAAAGTCCTTCCTAGAGGAACCCATGCTTCCTGCATGCAGGAGAAGGAAGCTACCACACACCCCAGCCAAGTCAGCACTTGGATGCTGAAAGTTTTACATGCTTCAAATTCGTAGCATTCAATCACTAACTCAGCAGATGTGTAAGACTTTAACTGCCAGCTTCACTGCTGGTGATCATTCATTAACAAAAAACATTTCTTTTTTCGTATTTCAGAACCAATTTTAGTCAAGTCTTTGTGCACAATGATTACAGATTTACAGATCTCTAAGCACACATAGGTAGGTGTGCACCTGGCCCATCTAGAAGGAAATAAATGGCAAAATAATTTTCACATCCAGTTTGGGTTTTTTTTTATATTTACACCATGATCATGAAAGCAGTGGAAAACTGCTCTTTCCTTGTCCTTCTGGTCACCAAAACAGTGATGTTAAAAGGCCATAAACATGGAATGAAAGGGCAGAAAGGACAGAAAACAGAAATGGAGAAGCAGGCCCCCAACATAAGCAACCATGTGAAAATTAAAAAACAAACAAACAAACAAAAAAAACCCCCAAAAACTCATGTTTGGGGATTTAATAATGCTTTTGATAATATAACCTGGGAAAAAAAAATACATACTTTTACTCTTTAGCTTCTGCACCTTTAGGGTCCTTTTTTTTCCCCCCTTCTCCGTAACGGTACAAGCTAAAAATGTATTTTTTTCTTCATGAAAACCAGCTTTCTAGCTCCAGAGATTTGTGTTTTAGATAAAACCACCACCTGCTCTCAGACCTTGGTGACTGGCACCAGATTTGGTATCAAGAGGGGAAGATGCAGAACCCCCAGGAGGGGACTGACTGGGGATCCAGAGTGGGGTGAGTGACAGCTGGAGCCAAAACAAGCCACCCTACAACAGCTCCCGATGATCCAGAGGGGACCAGGCAAGACCACAGCACCTGAGTATCACCTGGCACCTACACCTGAGGCCGTTTTGCTCCTCAGTTCATGCAATCTGGGGTACTCTTCACAGAGAAATACTTGCGCACATCAGAGAAAATGCCTTAATTTAATGAACAGCATTGAGACTAAGAAATTTACCCCGTACTATTTCATGGAAATAATAATGCAAACACTCTGAAGAAATTAAAGCAGAGCTAAATAATAATTAGAAATTATAACTCCTGCATCCCCAGCTGCCTTTCAACTAGAAGAATCACAGATATTACAGATGGAAATTGCCTATTAGATCACGTAGTCTAACTCCTTGACAGTGAAGGATAAATATCTCAGGGTGTTATTCATTATACTACCGGCTGGGATCACTTTGTTCATCTTTGAATTTTAGCCATGTCTGGAATGGACAGAAGATCTGTTCTGTGCCGCAGAAAGGATGTGTTCAGTAGGTGAGAATAGAGCAGATGATCTACCACTAATGCTACCTACTCATCTTTTAATGCAGCTCACATCTACTACATAAAATCATCAGCACTACTCTAGCAGACAGACAGGAAATGAAAGGCTTTACATGTCAGTCCATCTCAAGGAATTTCTTCTGCTGGGATAGAACAAACCCAATTTCCTCGGTATAACTGGACCTAATTTCAAATGCAGAGCTGCAAAGATGCTTATCCCTCTGAGACCTATAGACAAGCCACAGATTTTTTTAGTCTGCATTCTGAAACATAGTTTGAGAGTTAGCAAGCAGATACATCTAGAAGAAACCTGGATATGAGATGGAACAATTTATTTTTTTTTTACTCAAAGCATTTTATAACAGTCTTTAACATTAGCACATGATGTAGAAGGAAAGAGAGGGCTTTTCTCTGTTAACATTGTAAGTTTCACCAGGAGTACCACAGTGAAGTGGTAACTGTCTCTGCTCAAGCAATTGCAGATGAAGAACATCTGCATGACTGCACACTGCTACTTAGGGGTATGCACTGATGATCATAACACTCCCTTCTGCTTTACAAGGTCTTTCTGTATTATTTGCACCCTGGCACTTTGACCAGAGGAGAGGCAGAGAATTCCAAAAACAACCGAGATTAATTTTGTGGGATTAGCACTGGCCCTGTCACACTCCAGTTTGCCAGCAAGTGGTAGAGATCTGTCTGTGGGCAGGCCTGTTCCCAGGGGAGGATGCGCTCGCTGTTCAAGGTAGCAAAGACACCTGCAATGGATGAATGTTTCCAAGACTTGTTTTTTTCCAAACACTGTAGGGAAGTCAAGATTTCAGCCTTGAAGTACACAAATATTAAGAGAGCAACTATTACTATGAGCAGTCTAAGCACTAGATGACAAATACTCAAACACACCCTAAATAAAATTTCATCAAGGTCAATACAATGCTGTAGGACCTTGGGTGCAGCTAAACTTATCTTTTTGTTTGCTGAGGCTGAAGTTCCCTTGCATGAGATGTTAAACTGTGGAACAAGACAAACAAACAAATCCCACCATGATGCTCATATTAACAGCATTTTCCTGAATGTTCCTGTTTAGGACACCACAGCTCCCTTCCATGCTGTGAAATAGCAGATTGACTGGCTACAGACTGCTCCTCTGACTTTGTGTATAAATGGCTTTTCTCTCTGTGAAGTTGAAAGATACCAGGCAAAAGTCTGATTGTATTAAACTTTTAAAAAAATAATCCTGTTTGCCTGTTGGAATTAGAAATTAGGAGTTTCTCATGGGATGTGTCTTTCTTCCCCATTTTAATGCTTTTTTTTTCCCCTTCATATCCTTATTTCTGAGGATGATGTCACTCACATAAAGCTCATCCAGCCCGAGCTATTAAGTGAATAAGCTCATCGCACTGCTGGTGTACATCATCTGACACCACCTCACTTCATTCAGAAAGACAGGCAGAAGTTATTCTTACAACAGTAGAGCTTAGATATATCTGATGGGTTAATGTGAGTCATAAGGAGCTCCCAATAGTTGTGCAAATTTTTTCCAAAATCTCATGCAAAAATTGTTACCTCTCCTGCTTGTGGCAACAACTTGTTATTGCTACTAAAATGAGTAGTTACTCCTTGAGAGAAAGTGGTAGAGGTTTATGATGGAGCCAGGTTTGATTTGAGCTGTGATATTGCAACTTCTCCACCAAAACCCCATCTCCACTCACTGGAGGATTCACTTGCAATTAATCAATTTAAAGTAACAGTGGTTCTGTGACATAAGTAATAGCCTACAACTGGGCCTTTAAAGAATAGTGGGCATGATTCTGAATGAACAGAAAAGTATATCAGACGTTATTTTCTCTTAATAATTTTTATAGTTCAAGAGATGCATTACATGGGCCATTCAGAAAATAAAATCAAACAGAAAAGTATGTCAGTTTAATGCTGCGTCATGCTGTAATTCTCTTTCCAGAAAGATCAGTATGGCGCTTCAGGGTACAGAGTCTTCTTAAAATGCATGCCCAGTCACTCTCAGCTCCTTTGGGGCAGTCCATACCCCAAAGATGGGAGCAGAGTATTTGGCTTTTCAAATCAGTGACAAATTATTTTTTTCTTATTTTGATTCTATTTTCAGTCTGGTGCTGGATACAAGTCAAGATAGAACTGGAGCAAATGTGAACATTGCTGCAAGAAACTGGAAATCAGTATGATATTAAATGGCATTTTTAAAGAATAAAACTGTGTCCACTGGTGCCAGAATATCATTCCCACACAGCAGAGCTCTTAAAGGCAGGAAAATTTACATTGATAATGAACAACATATAGGGTCATCATCTCTAGTTATAATTAATCAAAATTTATGTCATCGTGGGTGTAAAATTCATCCTTTCAAATGGAACAAAACAACAAAGCTGGAATCAAAAGAAAAATACATAATTAAATTTGCTTGCGATGTACATATAATTGCAGCTGATGTCTTAAAAAGAAGGTCATAGATCAATGTCCCTTCTAGGTCTCTAGCATTTTATTATTTATCTCCAAAAATCTGAACCAAGCCCAGTGAGAAGGGTATCTGTTAGTTCTGACAGCAGCTAGATCTAGCTCCAGATTTCT